CACAGATTGTAGTGTGAAGAGCTTTGTATGTCCTGGTTGGGTAGAAAGGTGCTATAGAAGTACAGTCCATTTACCATTTACCTTGCGCATTTATATAGGCGCGTCCACGAGGTGTCGTAAAGCGAAGCAGGGCCTTGTAAAGCAGACGCAGGGCGTTGCAAATCAGCCCAGAGTGTTGTAAAGACTTCCCGACACTCTGCCTGCTTACAACCCTTGGCAAAAAGTATGGAATCACCRGTCTTGGATGAGCACTCATTCAGACATTTCATTCTGTAAAACAAACTCAGATCAAAAACATGATACAATAATAAGGTCATTCCAAAATGCAACTTGTTGGCTTTCAGGAACACTCAAAGAAATGAAGAGAAAACATTGTGGAAGTCAGTGAATGTTACTTTTATTGACCAAACACAGGGAMAAAATATGGAATCAATCAAATTGGAGGTAGAAAATAAGGACACACCCAGTCAAGTTCCTGAATGAGTGCTCATCCAAGACTGGTAATTCCATACTTTTTGCCAGGGGTTGTACAATGCAAAAATGCCATTAGCTACAACACTCACCTGGGCACTGAAAGAACCCTTTGTTTGAAGTGAGTGTTAGCAAAAATACTTTACCAAAGATATTCTGATAGGTTGACAAACTCCTAATAGAATCTGTCTATCACATTTTTGTAAAGTAGATGCTTTTTAATGCAAACAGGGTTTCTTTATAAATATGTAAGTTGCTTTAAATTTGCCTTGATTTATAAATGCTTTCCTTTTTTTTTAAATTGATATTTAGGAACTTGCACAAGTCGTAAGGGGTTGAATGGAACCTGCTCGGTGCATGAATACACAGGCAGTTTTCAAGGCCAAACGGTCCGCTTTAAGATGACTTCTGTATGTGGACATGTGATGTGTCTGGATTTCACTGGTAGGTATATGCAAATTACACTGATCATATTGTATATAAATATAATATGCTACACACCACTCCTACACAGTTGTTAGAGCTGTTACATCACATCAAGGAGGTTGCTCCTTGGTACCTAGGTATGAGTGAGAGTATGGATGGTTGTTTGTCTTGTGTTGGTGTAATAAACTTGTGWCCTGTCCAAGGTGAACCGTTCTTTTCACCGACTGACTGCTGGAGATGGGCACCAGCTCCACATGACCCAGAAAGGAGAAAAGGGTACAGAAAATAAATCAATTGATGTTTTTTTTGTGTGTGTGTCTGTGTATATGTGTGTGGAGAAATAAAAAAAAAACTTGTTTGTTGAAAATTGATTTCAGATGTTAAGATCCATGGTATAAAGAGACATTCTTAAATGCACAAATATTATTTATATTTGTATTACCTTCAGTATTACAGGTTTGCATACACCGAGATTACTATGCCTTTACATAGTTTGCAAAGGCCCAAACGATAATGCCTTGGCTTTAGGGGTGTTTGATTAGTTGACAACATTTGAGATAATTGGAGGCATACCTGAAGATGCATTTTAAGGCAAACCTCAAACTAGAGCTGGGAGATTATATGATCGTGATTACTGATCAAGAAAAAAATTCAGGCTGATCACTGTGATCAGCTGTGAGCCTCTATACTCGGTCAAACATGGCGGAAATGTACGTGGCAACAGCCAATCAGAATCCACCTTCTCCTGCTCCACTTCTGTAAGTTGCTTTCTGCGATGCAGAAAACGTGGATAACATTGCGAAACTGACCAAAGAAATAGGAATCCAGTATAAAACACTGAATCTCACAGAATTTGTTTATTTTGGCGAGTTTTGGAGGTATTTTGGCTGCTGCTGCTGGTACCTGATTTACCTCCGTGCTAACATGAGGTAAACTGAGGTGAGCTGAGCCCCCCTCCCAACGGAGAGAGAGAGAAAAATAACAGTCAACTTTGACCCACACGGTGMACAAACTCGCCCAAACAGCAATGTCCTCCAAAAATATGAAGCTTAGGGTAAAGTTTAGGACAGAACAATACCCCAGTGGTTCTTCATTTATCTGGAAAATAACTTTTCTGTAAGTTTTGTCAGCACACGATGGGCTGGATTTGTAAGAAAACGTGTGAAGTCACTGCTTCCTGTCTGAGCCGCATCATAAACGAAACCGARGAGCAGCTGAGAGAGACGCTGCAAATTCCTGAACTCTCGAAGGTCGGAGTTTATCCAACATTTTATCCTGTGTGCAGAATCAAATATAACTTTAGAAAAMAATGAAACCTGTGCTAGTATGTTTGTTTATGAGATATTGTTGTGGAAATCTTTATTTCCCCAAGACATGTCCTGATGCAGCTCAGTAATCCAGGTAAAAAATCAAAAAGAAAAAAATTGTGTAGGTCCTCTGGACGGGTT